ACAGGGCCATATGTGCCTGTTGAATACAAATGATTCAATACCTAAGCCTAGGAACAAATATAGTAATATAAATCTATCTTTCTAATAGTTGGGCATGACTACATTTTAGATAAGGCAATTGAACAAATTTCAGAATTCAGGTGGGAAATGTCCGATTATGCATGGCTCTTTCCTTGTCTATAAATCATGTGAGGCTTTCTATACTTTACTTTCAGGCTTTCAGCCTTAATTTTCGAATAGAAAAACATATGGAGTTGGAACTCAATTTATCCAGAAAGCATCTTAATCATGACGAAAAAAGCACACATATTGAATGCACACGCAAGCAAGTTCGGGTGAGAAGGCGACAATGTGAGTGATGACCTTAGTACTAACCACCAATAGAAGAATGATCTTCAAAGAAAATAAAACATGTAAAAATGAAACAGACTGGGAAGAAGAAGGCATATAAAAAAAAGAAAATAAGCGGCACAACAAAAAACTAACACCTAAATTTGAACCAGATTCACAATAAACCTTAGGGCTCATCTCCCTGATTACTTTTATTCTGGACTGGTAATCAGAAGTCACTGCCATGCTACCAGAACCTACATATAAAACTGGTTTTGGCCAGGTCAAGAGAATATGTACTCTCAAAAGACAGGTCGTTGAAGCTAAATCACAAGTGATGATAAATCAAAAAAGTTAAGGGAAGAGACAAAAAATGTCTGCTTAAAAGGCAATCACCAGTAAATCAAAAACCCTTTCACACTCAGTGGTGGAACCAGAATTTCATGATAGTGGTGTCACAATATATTTAAAAATCATGATAGCAGTGTCACAATATATTTATATTCCTCTCATATTCAATATATCATGAACTCTGATGAGATACAAAAGGTAACTTCAGCTAAATAAAATCACATTTAACCCAATACTTTCTTGAACTTTCTCCATGATTATCATTGTCAATATCATCATCATGTTGCTCGGGTCATGATCTTTTGAGGTTATTCTCCATAATACTATTGAATAAATAAAAAAATGACCAATTATATTATCATTATGATATGCATACAAACATTTAAGTACATAGTCTTTTTTTTAATCAAACAAATGAAGTTACTTTGAAACACAAATTCGTATCATAAAATAAATACCCTAAAATAAGCCATGACTCGGAGTTAAACCTCCAAGCCTAAATAACAAGAGAACAATCAATTAATATGCTACATTAAAGAACAACCATTGAATTCAATAATTAAATAATAGAATAAAGCTTTAAAAAAATATGAGTTTTCTCTTTATAATGAAATTGGATGATGATCCAAACTAAATCGCTAGGGAGGGAGGGGGCCGGGGGGCAATCTATCTCAATACTACACAAGGATGGGACCAATAGATTTATAGGTTGCTAACATTTGGATTTGAGTTTAGATCATTTAAGAGTTAACCACATTAGAAGTGAATCATAGATGGGCTTATTTGTATAATGGGTTCACTAATATCTCAAAGCTTATATACACCTAGAAAAATTTTTGGCAAGAGGGAGGTGTCACTTGACACCACCCTCATAGAGGTAGCTCCGCCCCTACACACGATGGAGGTCTTCATGCATGTTGTTTTTGCCCGAAGTCCACCACCACGATAAATACAGGATGTCTACATCAACCAATGGCACCTCATACCTTAATGAATGATGAAGACTTTTTAAAAAAATGTTTTTACCTTAATACTTTGTGGGAGGATAAAATAGATTAGTTAAATGGTTAACACTCTTGACACCACCCTCATAGAGGTAGCTCCGCCCCTGCACACGATGGAGGTTTTCATGCAATGTTGTTTTTGCCTTGGAGTCCACCACCACGATGAATACAGGATGTCTACATCAACCAGTGGCACCTCATACCTTAATGAATGATAAGGACTTTTAAAAACAAAAATGTTTTTACCTTAAATAATTTGTGGAGGATAAAATAGATTAGTTAAATGGTTAACACACTTCACTTTCAAACCTACCTTTTAAAGGGCTAGATATAATCCACCAACTTCACGTTGACTTTCTAATCAAACTGGAAGAATAAACTCATGTTATCAAAGAAGAAATAGAAACATTACAATTAGTCTAAGAAATATACATATTAAGCATTTATGACTATACAAATCTCAACAGAAAAAGCATAAAGAGAGAATATGTTTTTAATGTAGTAAAGTGAACGTAAAACCTTAGTTGATATATGACGAAATCTTTTCAGAGTAAATATAGTAATATACCATAATATACCATTATACCAATGACTTTTAGTCTTCCCTTCAGATGCAGGTAAATATATACTATATTAGTCTTTGTCTTTCTTCGCCTTCCATTCCGCTTTATATATGGCTGTGACTCACATTTCTTAAGCCATATTGCTCTTCGCCATGAGGCGAACAAAGCATACTGTTAAATCTTATAAAAGATTTGTTCAAAACTATATCTTAAAGGGAGATTTACCCTTTGATCAATATTTACTAGGGTAGGGTTATTTATTTAGCTAATAAACTCATTTGCAGATACAACCCGTGTACTATATAGTCAATGAATAATAGAATCAGCACTCATCCTTCCATGTATCCTCCGAATTATAACATCAGAATATTGACTCCAAATTCCCAAAACTCCTCTAATGAGCAGAGAAGAAACTTAACTAGTAACTTACATGTTAGTCTAATAGGTACTCTACTCTCTTAAAGTCATGAAAGGAAAAACGAATGAGGTTTCATCCACCAAACTCAGCTTGTAATTTTTTCCAATTCATTGGTTCAAAAATGTTATCTTGAAGTAAGATTTACCTTTTCATCAATAGTCACTAGGCTAGGATTATTTATTTACTTTATGAACTCATTTATACATACGACACCCGTGTACTATAGTCTATACAAAATAGAATCAGCACTCATCCTTCCATGTACCCTCCGAGTTACAAAATCAAAATATTGATTTGGAATTCTCAAAACTTCTCTAAGTGAAAGAAACTTAAACTAATAACTTACATGTTAGTCTTAATTTGCTCTCTTAAAGACATAAAAGGAAATACAAATGAGGTTCTTCTACCATGCACCTAACTCAGCCAGTGAACCACAACCAAACTGTTTTTCCAATTTACTTTAATAACACATATACTGTTTTCACTTTTCAGAACCCTTATTGGCCTCTTGGAAATCCTTATCTTGAATCTTTTTTTGCAATCTTGCAAGCTAGGTGGCATGAGTTCACCAAATAAACACGCATAACACCTAACAAAACCTGATCAGTACTTGAAGTGCCTTCTTTAAATTAGTCCAATTAAAATCCATAACAAGTAACCAAAGTCATGAAACCTTAACCTGTTATGTCTTGCAAAAAGTATCATGTAAGATTGTCTTCTCACAGCCTCTTGTTAAACCATACCTCTTCTAAGATACTTTGGCAAGAAAACCAAGCACTGTGCCTGCATCAGCTTCTCACTGCATATACTCAAGAATCTCTACTGTTTCTCATAAATTTTATTCCCTTGAGGCATTTTCAGCACCTTTAATTCTGCAGTTCTATCTCCCCAGTTGCCAGTTTACACAGCCATGTGAGAATTAACATCTTTTAGAAGCTCTTCCCATTTCCTGAAAAATCCTATTTCTAACATCAATATGCTTTTTTAGCATCTTTCCCATCTTTAAGCTGCTCTTCTCTCCTAATAATCACTAATCTACTATAAGATCATCTTCCACAATGTTAGGTTGATTCTTACGATCAAAATTTGTAAAAGTTCAAGACAAGGATGCATTATGTAACAGGTTAGTTTTGTCAAAGGACCAATAGAAAAACGTTAAATACTATAGGAGTACAAACCGAAGCAAGTCAAAATAATGTTTCGCAACCGCACTCTTTCACACACCATGCACAAATTGATAAAAAAAACAAACCATTGGATGAGTGACACAAATAACCCGTTAGGTTACACAACAAAGAAAAAACAACTCCAGCATGAATTAAACATACATGTATCACTTATATAGATTCTTTTTCTCAGCATAATTGCTCATTCATGATGAAATTTTGGAAGTTTTTTATTTCAAACCAGGTGATAATAAAAGGAACAAGTACCTAAAAACTGATAGTGGTGTATACAAGAGAGAGATCAACTTTTTACCAACTCGATCAGTTAAAACTCCTTACTTGAAGTTATATCAATTAATAGTAATAGTGATAATGAATTTAATTCAATTGGATAAACTTTATGATGTAAGACAAAAGGTTTTCCAAACTACTGACACCCACTAACAAACAAGTAAATGTATGCAAAAATTCTAATAGTATATCTCTTTAACTAAGCAGAGACTTAATGTTCATATGGTACAGATCATAAATCAACTATAGTGTCAGTGATCTCCAGCAACTCCCAATAAAACAGTTTAGGCAGGGAAGAAAAAGACTCACATCACGAAGCTTGTTACGGGGAAGCATACGTAGAACAGCTTTGCGAATAACTTCGGTTGGGTCCTTCTGAAGCTGATCTTTCAGGCTTCTTTCTTTTAGGTGGCCAATGTAGCTGTCCAAAGAACAATAAGAAATTATGCAAATCCAAATGTAAATCACCATAAACAGGAGAAGAAATTTCTTCATATTTTGAATACTTGCCCAGTATGCCAGCGATAAAACTTGTCAGTCATTTTTCTCCCAGTTACACAAATATCTTTTGCGTTGAGCACAATGCACATATCACCATCTTCACGGTATGGTGTATATGTTGGCTTATCCTTTCCTTGAACTACAGTTGCTATTTGAGAAGCCAATCTTCCAAGAACCTTACAAAGTATAATTCCAGTTAATTTATTTTCTTTTGTGATATTCACATGAAACAATGGCTTAGACTTCTCAAACTGTGAAGGTAAAGAAATCCACCTGGCCTTTTGCATCAAATACACGCCAGCGCAGGCCCTCTAAATTGATTCTTCTAAGTCCTGCCAGGGCTTTCTGCATAATACATCAACAAAGATAAGTATAGCATAATGAATATTGATAACTGGCAAGACTAAAAGGAAAAAAGCAGCTACATCTAGCTTCAGTAGATAAACATAGCTCGATGCAGCTGAAGTTTACAGTATATCTAGAAATCAAAGGGCATAACTATGATTTAGCGATAGTAGCTTAACCCTTTTTAGCAATATTTTTCAGTTGTACAATCAGAAAAACTAAGAATGGAAATAATTAGTACCTGACCCAGTAGATTATGTCCAAAAATACTTCAGTCAAAGGTTAGTAAACAGACTGATTAACTATGAGCTAGGATTATTTTCGGGTGACCAGGAGGTGTTTGTTTCACGACTCCAGGTAAAAACTAAGAATGGAAATAATTAGTACCTGACCCAGTAGATAATGTCCATAAATACTTCAGTCAAAGGTTAGTAAACAGACTGATTAACTATGAGCTAGGATTATTTTCGGGTGACCAGGAGGTGTTTGTTTCACGACTCCAGGTAAAGAAAGCTAAGCTTGTCGAGGGAGATACCAAACACAGCCACACAGGGGTTCTGACTTCTGATAAAAAATATACGCAAAGAATAATTTATTCTACACTTTCTTGTGTTTCATTATGCCATAACACCGTTTTCTGCTAATGATAATAATACAATAATGTTACAGCCTACTATCTAATCCTAACAAAATGATTAGTGAAAACAAACAATTGTCGAGCTTGAAAACACAAGATAGTTCGAGACCAATCTGATACAAGATTAGGTCTCGATAGTGACACTTCTATCTAAGGGTTATGTTTTCTCTCATAATGAGGGTTTGTCACGAAAACATGAAAGGCTTATCATCTAAACTTTTTCAGCTCGGCTCTACACTAATCCTACTGCTGAATGAAATTATCATTCAAACAAACAAAGTAGTGATAATCTAAACAAAAGAAATCTAATTACTGGGATACTAGTGATTTCGTTGAGTCCTTTCTCCCTAAAATAACTAATTCAAACACAAAGAGACATGAAGATTTGTACAGAAGAAAAAAAACAAAGAATACTGAATAATCTAAAAGGAAAATAAAATCATCAAAGTATAAGATCAGGAAAGAGCAAATCGAGGTCAGCATCGTATCACCTTCATATTAAAGGATTTAGTAGCCGCAGCAGCTGCCATTTGTCGATCGCCTCTTTACCCTTCCTCACTAAAAAATATATTAAAAAAAACAATAAGAATCATATTTTTGTAACAAATCACCATTTCTAGAGAGAGAATAAGAAATCATACCTGAGATTGTAGCTTCAATGTGAGCATCGATGATCAGCGGAACCCTGACGAAAGAGAGGGGGTTTTTAACAAAGAAGTGAACAAGCACGAACCGCAACCCGCAAGGGGACTGCAGTAAGGCTCTAAACAGGTCGGGTTGAAGATAAAAGTATTCACCAATTTGAATACGAGCAGAGCACGTGTTTGCTAACTTATTGGACCTGGGTTCAAATACCAGACTTTACATATTCAGGTATTTTTTCCCCTCTTTTCATCTTTTTCCCCCTCAAGGATTTTTTCATATACAAAACACCCTACACATTATAACGATCCAAAGCCTGCGTGTCCTTCCCTTCACTGCCTCAATTAATGTTGATGTTCATTTTCATTTAACTATTGCCTTATTTTCACTACAATAATACACTAGAATAATATTATTCTTTATTACATACAAGCAATTTGAGATAAGAGAAAGAGACATTATTTTAACATGTCACTATTCAGCTCCTTTTTAAGACATTAATCGTAAAGTTGAGTTTGAACTTTTGAGAAAAAATCATGTCAGTATGTCAATTCTTTCCAAGCGAGGAAAAGATTTAACTGAGATATTTGTCACAAACTATTAAGAGTAACATATTGGTGAAATCAATGATATCATACTACATTTTTTTTATTATCTCTCTCTACAAATTCCCAACAAAATTTAACTTACCTACATGTCTTTCTTTTTGCTAGAAACGTTATGCCCATTCTCGCACGGTTTGATTTGGTTTCTTTGAAAATTGAACTGTACTGAAAAATTTTCTTGGGATTGCTGCTACTTCTTCAAAAGTACTTTAACTTGAGTCAATTTTTTTCCTTACAAGGGTTGGTTGGTTGGTTTACCAATAACACTTAAAAAGTATTTCACGACTTGAAAACCATATCGGATGTTCTAGAGCTAAAATGGATTTCATGAAAAAATTGATGCGACGGAGCTATTCAAGACCTCTTTTACATAAATTATCCAACCAATCAAATACTGGAAATGTAAACCTTTTTTGTCTTGAGATTTCCGAACGTAATGTGGCAAGCATGGAAACCAATTTCATCTTTTTATAATGTGAACCAAACAGCCCATAAATGAAATACAAAATAAGGATGATGATATTTTTTATATAAAAATTTGAAATTCAAATTAGATGTCTTAAGTATCAATTCCCCCTACACAATTTCCCTTATTTTATAATATTTCAAATTAAATCAAAAGAAAAGACTATCTCGCTTAATAAGTATGTACATAGTTTTTATTTCAAATTTACAAATTTAAATTAGGAAGGGACACATGATTTTTTCTTGAGATGTAAGACTAATAATAAATCATAAATTTCTTTTTCGATATAAAGGAGGATATAAACCATTTCTTTTTCTATTTCTACTCTTTCATGTAGTTCAATTTATTTTTCTACTAGTAGACTAACGTATCCAAATTTTCTTTATTTATGGTACCTCACTTGATTCTTATGTCCATTCAGGATTTTAATTCTCATCTTAATTTGACAATCAAGGAATGCTGTAACAATGGTAATCACTAATTCAATAAATAAAAGATATTCACGTGTAACCACTATATCTATCCTCTCCCACTAATATCTATCCTCTCTATAAAAAAAGTATAATATGAGTAACTTTTACTAAACCCCCAATAAGTTTGGGCATGTGACATCAAATCTCAAATACCTTTGAAATTCTCGCTAAAAACCCAAAAAACTTTTGGTAGAAAGTTTCTAAATTAACATTGTTAGTTAATATATGATCAAATGATCAAAATATCCCAATAAATTTTGGATAAAATCACCTAATAAGTTTCAGTTTTGTCACTTAACTCCCAATAATTTTTGCTAGTTAATCCCTAATAATGGTTGTTTATTATTTTCAAGGTTCTGTATAATTTTTGGATTTTTAGGAGGTTGTTTCTATTTTTTGGATATTAAGAGTAGTTTGTAATTTTCAGTTTTTGCAATGAGCTATTTGTAACAATGTTATAGAAAGCGCTAGAGGGACTAGGCGCTTGAGCTGGTGCCTAGGCGTCTGAGCTGGCGCCTAGGCGTCTATCTATTTTTTAATTATTCAATTATAATAACTGACAAATACATATTCTATTTAGTGTTCTATCTATATCTTAATGCTTAACCCTTGCTTTCTAGCACCACCAACCCTTATGCATAAAATGCATTTGAAAATGATGACAACAATTTAGTGGATAGTGAATAATGGAAAGTAGCTTATAAATACAAGAAAATGATTGTAACAATTTAATATGAATTTCTCCAAACTTTAATGTGAAAGGCAAGAAGCAAAAAAAATTATCAAGATTCACAGAGAGAGAGGGTTCAGATTTGGGTTTTGCTAGGTTAGCGTGTCGGGTTTGGATTTGTGGGTCGGGTTTCGTTTAAAAACCGTTGTTTTCGTTTCAATTGGACCTGAAGTGGGTTGGGCTGCGGCAGTTTTTAAGCACTTTGTCTTTGCTTCTTTCCGCGTTAAAAACGTAGGCGGCCAGCCTAAGCGGGCCGCTAAGCTCGAAGCGGCGCCTAGGTGGATCTTGCGCCTAGCATGGCCGCTCAGACCAAAATGGCTGGATGGGCGCCTACGCCTGATTTCTAATATTCAAAACTTACATATAACGCTTTATTTTTTTTATTTTAAGGTCTTTTTGTATTTATTTAAAACAATTCAAAGGTTTTTTTGCAATTTTAGATTATTCTGAAGATTATTTGTAATTTCTAAGTTTTAAGAGATTTATTTGTTCTATTTGGAGTTTCTGGGGGTTGTCTATAATTTTTTGAATTTGAAGGTGGTGGTTAGTAATTTTTAGATATTTTCAGAGGGTCTATAATTATTTGGAGTTCTTTGTAATTTTTAGAATTTAAAAGGGTTTTTTATAATTCTTAGATTCTTAAGGGGGTCGTTGATAGTTTCATTTTTTCAAAGGGTTATTTTTTATGTTTTAGTACTTATTTTTAAATTATGTGGATTAATATGCAAATAGAATGATTCGAAGGTGTATTTTAATTTATGGATTAATATTGGCCTTGATGGATAATGTCCATTGGTGTATACTTATGTGCAATATCTTTATAGGGTTTAGTGCAAAAAATCAAAAAATTTTTGATCATATTTTAATTTTATGGAATAATATTGGCCTTGATGGATAATGTCCATTACTTAATACTTATGTGCAATATCTTTATAGGGTTAAGTGCAAAAAATTAAATTATTTTGATCACTTTTTGAAATTCTGAAACTTATAGGGAAATTTGAAATATTTTTGGGCTTAAATCCAAATGACTAACCTTACTAGAGATTTAATGAAAATTATCTCTTAAAAATAAAGGATAGTCATATGACAATTTTTTAAAATGTGAGGCTAATAATAAACCGCTAATCTTTTCTAAATAGTTAAAGAAAATATAATTATTAGATTTTTATTATTATCATGGATAATTAAAGAAAAGTAAAGATATGATTATTAGATTTTTTAATTATGGATAATTAAATAAAATAAAAAATGTGATTATTGGATATTTAATTATTAAAATTTTAACTATAATTAGAATTTTCTAATCATAGATAAATTTAATTTGATAAAAATTTTAATTACTGATAGATTTAATTTGATAAAAATTCTAATTATGGATAGAAAATAAATCCAATTATATAAGAATTCTAATTTAATTCTAAAATAATATCTGACGTGTGGTAATGTTTTGTATGCTTACGTGTTGTTATTTTGTGTTTTTAGAAGTTCCACCAATTTTTCGTATACTAGTTTTTACACACGTGCAATGCACGTGATTTAATACCATGAGTATTTTTGACAGTTTGTGCTCATTTTTTCTTTAAACTCTTACATCCAGATTATTTTTTTATGTTTGTTTAAATGGGATACACCCAATTTAAATTTTCATGTTGATATTTGAATTGACAAAAAACAAATATAATTTAAAAATAATTTAAATTTTCATATTATTTTTGACCAATATGAAACTAAGTTTTATTTGAGAAAGTATAGCATTGCAAAGTAAAAAATATTAAAATAATATTATACAATGAAGGTGAATATTTAAAACCAATATGGGAAAATTATTGATTTAAAGTATGTTAAAACGATGCAAAAGAGAATATGAAGTTTATTCCTAATCATTGATAGACTTCATAAAAAAATATAAATTAAAGATTAGTACTAACTCTAGTATACTTTTATATGATAAAAACATCCACATAAGAATATAAAAGTACTGAAAAAAATTCATGAAACTCCCTTCTAAAGATTCCTAATTTGACTCAAAATAATTAAACTATTCTATACAATATTCATAAAATATTTTTTTATTTCTTCTATTTTATTTTTTATTGAGTTAAGATCAATCCTTCTTCAGGTTTATCATTTATCATTTCTCGGAAAATTCTAGAGTATTGTCTTCATCATCTACATCAATTGTGACATCAGGCTAATTTTGTATTTTTATGCTATTATCTTTCCTAGGCTCGTTAATTTTTTATCATCTCATTTAACTTTACAAAGAAGTCAAATGTACTTATGATGTTCAACACAAACTGCTCAAAATATAGACTTTGATTTTTTTTCTATTTCAATGAGAATAAATATTAATTTCATATATATAAAATTCTTTGTGTTCCTAATTTATTACTTAAATAAATTAGAAGCTATCTCTTTATTTTCCTCTAAAATGAATTCTTCTGATGTGCATCCAATAAGAATTTCTGTTATTTCAATAATATTACCTTTGCTCTATCCCTGTCATTTTCCATAAAGATCTAAACTAAATACCTGCATTATTCATTACCAATTTCTCTTAGATTATAATATTAATATTTAATTTGAAGAACACAGTATGGAATTTATGAATACTTACTAATTTTTCTTATGTCTTCCATGGAGATTTTTTCTTTGATTAGGATAAAGTTATTAAATTATTTTTTAATGTAACTCATTCAGTGCTTCATTAATAGATATGTCTTATGTTAATGCCAATTCAAGTGATTCATTGACGTTTTCTGAATTTTAGATTTATTTCCATCACTTTCCCATTTGCAATGGAAATAACTCAATTCTTTTAAAGTTATCTCTAAATATTCTAATAGTTTCTCCATATGTAATTCCTTGTATTCTTTTACCCTATAAATATTATTAACGTCAAAGATTAAAGTTTCTAAATTAAAATCAATTAATGCTAAGGTATAATATTATAGTGTTTTATCATTTCTATGGATTTAAACATCTATCAATTAATGTTACGAATGTATTTTGGCTACCCCAACTTATTACTAAAATTATATGAAATTACTTTAATTTATATAGTGCCGATAATTTTTAATCTATAATATTTTTAAAAATTTTATCCATTAACCGGATGTTTTTAATCAATTCTTATTGTTTTTGTTTACCAGTATCAACTTAGACTATTCTTAGATGCTGAAAATGGATAGTAAATCCCTAAATTAGAAATTTTAATATATATATATATGAAAAATACCAAACAATTACACTTTTCTTTGCCAAGTTTTAAAATTTTAGCCCATTTTTGTGGTTTTGAACTTTGAGGGTGTGATTTATAATTTTTAAAATTTTGAAAGAGTTTTTAAAAAAATTTACTTTTAAGTTTGGTAGTTGTAAATTCTATGTTTCATGTGTTGGTGGTAATTTTTTAAATGTTAGTATATTTCTTGTAACTCTAAAATTTTGAGGGTGTCTTTTACAATTATTAAAACTATAGATTAATTTTGAAAAATATTAAATTTTAGCAGTCTACCAATCGACGAATTTGATGTGTGCTAGTTAAACTTTTTGAAATTTTAGAGTTTTTTTTACGATTTTTAAATTGTGAAGGAGTTTTTTAAAAATTTTGAGATTAATTTTGACAAATTTTAATTTTTTAGGTGTCTAAGGGTAATATCTTGAATTCATCTTATTTTATTTACAAATTTTAGAATTTTAGGGTGGTTTTTTATAATTTGAACTTTTGAAGGTGTTTCTATAATTTTTGAGATATTGAGGGTGTTAATTAAAAAATTTAAATTTAAATGTTAAAAATTTTAGGTGTATCATGGTAATCTCTTGAATTCATCTATATTGTTTGTAAGTTTTAAAATTTTAGAATTTTAATGTGATTGTCTGTAATTTAAACTTTTAAGGGTGTTTCTATAATTTTTAAGACATTGAGGTGTTAACTGTAAAATTTAAATTTTTTTGCAAACTGATGTTAATTTTTTA